GGAGGAGGCGAAGAAGATGAGGAGGAGGAGGAAGAGGGGAAGGAGGAAGGGGAGAGGAGGAGAAGAAGAAGAGGAGGAGGAGAACAGGAAAGGAAGGGGGAGGAGGAGGTGAAGAAGACAAGGAGGAGGAGGAAAGGGGAGGAGGAGAAGAGGAAGAGAACAGGAAGGGGAGGAGGAAGGGGGAGGAGAAGAAGAGGAGAACAGGAAGGGGAGGGGGAGGGAAAGAAGATGAGGGGGAAGAGGGGGAGGAGGAGGAGGGGGAGGAGGAAGGGGGAAGAGGAGGAAAAGAAGAGGAAGAGGAGAAAAAAAAAAGTAGTAGTAGTAGTACCACCACCACCAGTAGTAGTACCACCGGTAGTAGTACTAGTAGTAGTTGTTGTTTCTTGGATGAGGGTGAAACATCTTCAAAGGAAAACCAAGAAAGTCCAGTTGCCTCTTGAAAAAGCACCTTTGGGACAACCATGACCTAAAGGACTAAAAAACTCCATAGACATCGACAGCTGTGTTTCTTCCAACCCAGGCCATAAGCACCTGGGCACACCGCCTCTTCTCTCCTTCCTTCAAAGGAGGCCTTAGGCCTTCCCTAAGGCCTGCTATTCCACCTCCAGCCTTGCCGTGTTTGCCAAGGTCAGGGAGGACTAGCCTAGGGGGCTTGTCCAGGAGATTTCGGGCTCCAGGCTCTCTTAGATGCCACCAGGATCTGGTTGCCAGCTGCAGCTAGACGCTTGTTCAGGGCCCTCCGTTTTGGGATAACGCCAAACCAAAACCGTGGCTTAATCATTCTCCATTGCTTACAGAGAAATATCGAATACCAAGGGGATCTTGAAGGAGGCGCTCAAAGGAAACAGCCCAACTGGCAACTCTTCTGTCGCGTTGTCGTTGGCAGCTCTGGACACTGGGCAGACTGGCATTGCTGCTGAGGCTGGTGTCGCTGGTGCCATCTTTCAAGTCACTGTGATTCAGCTCTGCAGTAATGTCAAAGGAGAAATTAATCCGGCAATAAACTGATGGCTGTGTCAACCTCTCTGGAACAGAAAACTCCGAAATTTCTCGTTTGCTACAGGGGAAAAGTGAGGACCATTCAGCCGTTTCTGGTGTTCAGCTGGTTCAGACCGGTCCTGGCATAACAGTAGGAAAAATTTTGACTGGTTTGGAGAACCGGCAAGTACTACCTCTAGGTGGCCCCACCTTCCCGCTCCCGCTCTTCATCCTCTATATTCTGTTTTTTATTACCTCAGCTGATTCACGCAGCAGAGCAGATTGCCACGTCTCAGCTGAGCTAAAAAACAGCACAGCTCACCAGTGTTGATACAAAGGGCGGTGTTGGAGCCCTGCGCATGCACAAGCGAAGCAAGCGCTCTGAAACGGTAGGAAAAACCCACCACTGGTGACCACCACAGCAAAGGACAAGGCTTCGCAGGTGGGTTTACGACAAGTCACCACGGCCAACTCATTGGCCGGATCAGCATTGTAGTTTTCCTCCGCAGGCCAGCTGCCCGGGGGGGGGGGGAGAAGACAGCCAAAATGGGGCGTGGGAGGGCCACACTTGACCCCCCATGCGACCGTATTCGGCCTGGACAGCCTCCTGCAGCACTTTGGCCAGCAAATTGCTGCAGGAGGCCGTCCAGGCCAAAAACAGGGCATGCGGCGGCCACATGTGGACCCCTGCGCCCTGTTTTAGCCACCAGAGGCAGCACAGGCCACAGCCTAAGACAGGGCTGGCAAACCTTTTCAACATTGAGTGCTGAAATGGGAGCACGCGCTCACGTGGGGGAGTGCTGGAAACTGGAAGAGCAGCTCCCCCAGCGCGCATCACGCATTTCTACGCATGTGCACGTCTCCCGCGCACCCTCTGCCCTCCCCGTGTATGCGCACCAGGTACCCGACAATCAGCTGTTGGGCAGTGGCACGCGTGCGCATGTGCAGTGGGGCTCTTCCGGGCGAGCTCTCGCATGCCGGGGGAAATGGCTCTGCGTGCCACTTCCAGCACGCATGGCATCGGTTTGCCACCACAGGGCTACTGCAAAGAAAATGGGGACAAACTATTTTCTAAAGCACCAAAAAAAAAAAAAAAGACAAGAAGCAACGGATGGAAACTCATCAAGGAGAGAAGCAACCTAGAACTGAGGAGAAATTTCCTGACAATTAAAACAATTAATCAGTGTAATAACTTGCCTCCAGAAGTTTTGAATGTTCCAACACGGGAGGTTTTAAAGAAGAGACTTGGACAGCTATTTCTGAAAAGGTATAGGGTTTCCTGCCTGAGCAAGGGATTGGACTAGAAGACCTCCCAGGTCCCTTCCAACTCTGCTCTTCTCTTAAAAAAGGAACCGGCCAGTCAGGATCTGCGAGGCATTACCTGGATAGAGCTGGTAGGAGCCCCTGGTATGATGCCACTTCAGCAGATACCTCCAGTCGCTCAGGGAAGGCCATCCTTCGGCAGCCATGCCCGGCAGAGGGGACGAAGACACGGAGAAGGCCCGGCTGGCCTCCCTGTGGTGGCGACCCCAGCCGCAGCAAGCATCCTTCCTCCCTGCTCCTTTAGCTCTATTTTACAGCATTCCCTCCAAGTGGCGGCCCCTCCATTCCCCCCCACCCCACCCCCAGAGCCTGAAAGATGCTCTCTTGGTGCACCCGACTTAAAAGCTGATCCAGTGCGACATCAATAATTGAAGAGGGGAAAAAAGCCCTTCGTGGCTGTTGCCGAAGGGATATGAATTATTCAGCCTGCAACTGCGATGCAAGGAGGGGCGAAAGCGCTCGAGCGGCCACAGCCGAGTGGCCAATCCAAAAGCAACACACACACAAACACACACACACACACACAGTGCGCACACCTGCCCTCCACACAAACAGCTTCGTCCTGGGCTTTCCTGTCTCCCTAAAGAAAATGAAGAAGGTGGGGAGTCAGGTTTAAAACTTGGCTTCGTTGGGGATGGGGTTTGTAGATTGTATAGCCAGACCAGGATATGAGGGTTTCTTTTAGCTGACCCATCACTCGTTACTTTGCTCCGTTTCCAAAATCAACAGAGTTCTGTTGATGCTAGTATACTGCACGACAGCTAGTCTGACTATGACATGGTAGCAGGGGGGGGGGGGGGGGGCAGGATTCAAAAATCCATCAACTGGTTCACTGCCCGGTTGATGGGTAGTTGTGGTCTACCGGAACTTTCTATTACCGGCTTCCGGTGCACTTCCAGAGCCTGGGGGAGGCCATTTTCGCCCTCCCAAGGGTCCGGAGGCTTCCCCCAGGCCTCTAGGAGGGGGCGAACAGAGCATCCCCCGGACTCTGGAGGCCCACCGGAAGCCAGAAACAGGCCCGTTTCCGGACTTCCAGAAGGCCCATTTTCCCCCTCCCAGAGCCTCCACACAGACCCTGCACCTACCTCCATTGAAAATGGGCCACGTGGAGACTCCTAGGAGGGGTGGGGTGGGCGGGGCCAGCCGGTCGGTTGACATACCGGTCCGGTGAACCAGATGTAACTTTAACAACCAGTTTGCCTGAACCAGTCCAAACCGGTAGAATCCCATTCCTACCTAGTAGTAATGGAAATATCCCCCACCCTTTCCTGTCGTGCTATAAATTGTTACAAGATAGTCCTCGACTTACGACAGTTCATTTAGGGACTGTTCAAAGTTACAATTTCACTGAACATAGGGACTTACACGGCCATTTTTTTCCACGCGTAGGACTAATTGCAGCCTCCCCGGGATTCACGTGATTAACATTCAGGTTGCTGGAGAGCCGCCTCACGTTTATAACAGTTGCAGTCTTCAGGGTTCACTTTTGCGACCTTCTGGTAAACAAAATCAATGGGGAACCCAGATTTGTTGGACGTACCGTACTGCTAATTTTTAACACCTGCAGCGATTCGCTTAATGAAATGTGGCAAGAAAAGTCGTAAAATGGGACCGACTCACTTGACAATTTTTTTTTTCACTTAACAACATCAAGGTCGGGCTCAGTTGTGGTCGTGGGCTAGGTGCATTGGATTTAAATTTGGAGAATGAATATGTAAAACCTTGTATGATTCAAGTAACTTTGGATATAATGTAATGCCAGACTAATGGGAGAATGTCTGCTTTAAAATTAACACTAAATTATACTCCAAAAGAAAATTTTTATAAGATGATGTATGCCTGGTGTACAACACCAATAAGTTGTCAAGAATATATAAAGGTATTGGAAATGTAAATGTAAATGTAAAAAAGAGACTTTTTATCATTTATGATGGACATGTGATAAAGCAAAAAAATATTGGAGTAAGATTCACATCTTCATACAAAAGATTCTCAAAGCCAAAGGGAATATAAAGATATTCCTAAGAGGTCTGTAAGGGGCGTGCATAAGTGCACCATCGTGCCTCCCATCTCTGTCCTATTGTCCCCATTTAATTGTACCTATTTTCTGTATTCTTACTCATGTTTATACTTGTACCTATTATTTTGAAAGTGATTGACAAATCAAAATAAATAAAATAAAAATAACACTAGAAAAAGCTGGCTGAGGAATTCTGGGAGTTGAAGTCCGCGAGTCTTAAAGTTGCCAAGGTTGGAGACCCCTGAATTAGAGAGCTTCTGGCATCCTTAAAATGAAAAGATAAAGTGACAGAAAGATGGCTGGATCCTATCACCTGATCAGAAAAAAAAATGTTTCTTAACTTCAAACAACCTTTGTGGCTACTTTACGGTGCAAAGGAGGGATTGCTTTCATCTTCTCCAATCAGCTTTCTTTTTTTTCCTTTCGTCTTTGTTGGGTTAACTATAAAAGGGGATATAAGCAGTGGTGCGATTCAACCGGTATTACAACCGCTTCGATGAGCGTGCTACCGGTTCTCCTGAACCGGTCCATACCGGCTGAATCCCAGCACTGGATGTAAGCTAAGGATCTGGGTTCTCTCACTGAATGAGAGGAATCCCTTTTTGTCTGAATATTCTGATAAATATTGTAATGAAATTATCTTCCTGTCTTGGGTCTGTCTCACTAGAAAATATGCATGCCGAGGCATGAGCCTAAAATTGGCCTTGGCCAATCCGTCTCCTTCCAGTGGATCAGAATGCAAGGATCACAATGCCTGATTGTTGGGGCTACAGCAACGCTGCACAAACATTCATCCAGGCCCAGGGGTCCTTTCGGCCCCCAAAACTGATAGGACAAGTCCAGACCAAGGAGTCCACTCATGTTTACAACCCTGAGTTCCGGAGGAAACCAACCAAATTTCAGCTGTTTTCCTCTTGTGGAAACCATGCGCTCAGCTGACAGACACCGATTTCACATTCTTTAAATGCACAGAGATGCTGAGTCAGGACAAGCTGAATGAATGAGCTGCCAAGAACCTGTCTGAGTTCATCCTACAACAATTTTGGGTCTGGTCTGATTTTCGTTCTACATGTTTTAGAAAACCGCTTGGCCAGGATTGAGCTGACTCTAAGAAACGCGATTGCCCGTGTTTCCCTGAAAATAAACCTGGGTCTTATATTAATTTTTGCTCCAAAATGTGCATTAGGCTTATTTTCCAGTTAGGTCTTACTTTCAGGAAAATATGGTATTAAAATGCATCCATCTAGCTGATGATCTTAATTGCAGTTTATTTTTGGGGTAGGGTTTATATTATAAGCATCCCAAAAAATCAAGCTTAGGGCTTATTTTCCAGTTGGGTCTTATTTTCGTGAAAGTATGGTACTAAAATGCATCTGGCTGATGATCTTCACTGGGGCTTATTTTTGAGGTAAGGTTTATATTACAAGCATCCTGAAAAACCAAGCTAGGGATTATTTTCAGGAAAATACGGTACTAAAATGCATCTGGTTGACTATCTTCACTGGGTTTATTTTTGGGATAGAGTTTATATTACGAGCATCCAGAAAAATAAAGCTAGGATTTATTTTCTGGTTGGGTCTTATTTTCAGGGAAATACGGCACTAAAATGTATCCATCTGGCTCACTGGAGCTTATTTTTGGGGTAGGGTATACATTACAAGCATCCAGAAAAATCAAGGTAGGACTTATTTAAGGCCTAGGTTGGGTCTTATTTTGGGGGACCACTTGGTATAAAAAGCCTGTTACCCTGTAATGTTAAGCTCTGGAAGAACAGCTCAGAATCATAGCCAAACAAATAGAAAAGTATAAACGCATGCAAAACCCTCACAGAATCAACACAACCCCTCAGCTGGATAGGGATCGGAAAAAAATCCGGCTGAGAAAAGGCTGGAAATTATCTTAGAAACATGAACTCTTAAAAACTTGGGAGGTTGTTGCTCAAGGAGGACCAGGTAGTCCTCGGCTTATGATCCCAATCGAGCCCAAATTTTCTGCCGCTAAATGAAACATGTGTTACGTGAATGTTGTCCTATTGTGCGACTCTCCTTGCCACGGTTGTTCAGTGAATCCCTGCAGCTGTTAAGTGAGTCACCCGGCTGTTCTGTGAATCCGGACTCGCCAATATCTTTGCTTGCAAGAAGGTCACAAAAAGGGTTCCTGGGACCCCAGAGACACGGCCACCGTCGTAAATATGAACTGCTGGCCAAGCGGCTGAATTTCGGTCATGTGACTGTGGGGATGCTGCAACGGTTGTGTGAAAAACGGCTCATGAGTGCTGTTATAACTCTGAACAGTCACTAAATGAACTGTGGGGTAAGATGAGATCTACCTGTATATGTCTGGCTCTGTTTCTTTGTCAAACTGAAAACCAACCAAACCAACAAGCTCTCCTTCACAGTGGACAACAGAGGGCGGTATTCAGCAGGTTCTGACCAGTCCTGGAGAACCAGTAGAGGAAACTTTGAGTAGTTTGGAGAACCGGCCAATCCCACCTGTGACTGGCCCCGCCCCCTTCCATTCTCTGCCTCCCATTGAGTCCCAGCTGATCGGCTGGGTCTTCTTTGGTTGCCCTGCACAGGAGAATGGAGCTGGAAAGCAGGTTAGTGGGGCGAAGAGGGATTTTACAGTATATCCTTCCCTTGCCACGCCCATCAAGCCACGCCCACAGAACCAGTAGTAAAAAATTTTTGAATCCCATCACTGGTGGACAAGCCAAGCTGAACCGATCCACGGCTGGCAATCGGGGGTATTTTGCACCCCTCTGTGCTGCTGTCCACTCCCCAAGAGCCCCCAATTTGCTGTATGTGGTAAGATTTCAAGAGAGAGAGAGAGAGAGAGACCCCAAAAGAAGAATGCAACCTTAACAAGGAGCAGCAAGGATTCACAGTGAGTTATCTACCAAGCAGCCCCTCTATCAACCTTCAGAGTCTCCTGAAATTTTAGAGCAGTGAATGGCTAGCCTTTTCGTCGCCAAGGGCCCAAAGCGCATGTGTGCGTGCGCATCCCCCAAATGCAACACGCACCCCACCCCCACACACGTGCAACCCCCACACATGCATCTCACCTCCTGCACATGCGTGCACGACCCCCATACATGCCCTGTCCCCTGCACCTGCACGGCAGAGACCAGCTGGCCGATGGAGGCGCTTGCACGCATGTGCGGCGGATCTGAGCTGGGGCAACGGCTGGCGTGCCCAGAGAGGGGGCTCTGTGTGCCACCTCTGAGTGCCTTCACAACTTCAGAGCTACCTATGGCTCTGTCCCAGGTCATGCTGGTGACAAATTCAAAACCTGGCTAGGCACCTTTTGGGAGAGTGTCACCCTCCTCACCTGCAGCCAGTTCTTGCAATAGGTTGACCCCGCTCACTCAAGATCAGATTCTGGATGAGATCTTATTACAGGCCAACCTACCATTCAATCAATCAATCAGAATAGAGTTGGAAGGGACCTTGGAGGTCTTCTAGTCCAACCCCCTGCTCAAGCAAGAGACCCCCATACCGTTTCAGACTGTCCAGTCCCTTCTTAAAGACCAGGCAAGATATTCTGCTCTGGAAAAAAAATCGGGGCCGGACAAAAGAGACCCCCCGCCGCGCGCCCGGGGAGCGCCCGCTGCTTTCCCTCGCCAGGGCGGGGCGGCGGCGTGTTGCACAGAGGCTGGTCTGTGGCTGGCCCAGCTCCCTTTTCCTGCCGCTCAGCGGCCTCCGCTCGCACCGCCCGGGCTCCGCTCAGGTATCCGGCTGGGGCTGTCAGGAGTTGCTACCGCCGGCGCAGCTCCACGCGGCTCCAGTCCCGCGTTGCCTCGGGAAGGGAAAGGCAAAACCAGGAGCCGCTGCTGCCATTGCAAAGCGCCGCCGCGGCTCTTCCTTTTTGCCTTTCCCTTCCTGAGGCAACGCGGGACTGGAGCCACGCAGAGCCGCGCCGGCGGTAGCAACTCCTGACTCGGGGCCTCCGAGGGGAGGGGAAGGAGGAGAAGAAGGGGTGGGGGGAAAGGAGGGGGCGATTCCCCAAAAAATCGGAATTCCGATTTTAATCGGAAGAATATCATAAAGACTTCTAGTGATAGAGCAAACACAAGTTCGGGAGACAAGCCATTCCACTGGTTAATTGTCCTCCCTGTTAGGAAGTTTCTCCTTAATTCTGGGTTGCTTCTCTCCTGGATTAGTTTCCATCCCTTATTTCTTATCTTGCCTTCAGGTGCTTTGGAAAATAAAATGAGGAGGAGGGGAGGAGGAGGAGGAGGGAGCACTGAGGGCTCCTTGGTGCTCTCTGAGCTTGCTTGTTTTCCTGCAGATGTTTCATGACCCAACTAGGTAACATCATCAGTGATAGTACCATTCATTGTCAAAGTGCCTAAAAATATCAGTTCTTTTCATATTCATAGAAGTCTTTAGCTTACCTCCATCAGACACCGTTGTAGACTGCAGGGAGAGAAGGGAAAAAGAGAGAGAGAGAAATAATTAGTCTTGAATGCAAAAACTGGAAAATTCTAAGATCTGAGCCAGATTCTTTATGCACCCCTTTGATCCAACCTTCAAACCGTTAGCCCATTCAGTGTGATTTGATTCGGTCCGTTAATGAGAACAAAACGTTCCCGGTGAAAGTAAAGGTAAATTTTGAATGAATAAAGTTGATTTCAGAGGGAAGGAGACAGTATATTTATTCATAAAAGCGAAGTATCACTTACGCATCATCACAAAATCTCCAGAACCATAAAGCCTACAAACTTGAAATTTGGGCACCTATGTTCCTCTTGGCTTCTAGGTGCTCACTAAGAAAGGATTTTTTGAAAGGACCATCAGAGCATTAGTATTTCCTATATTATTATTATTATTATTATTATTATTATTATTATTATTATTATTA